ACTCGTGATGACTACCAACTACTATTAGCTATGATGTAATAACCTTTGACATTTTCTATATAATGAAAATTAGTTATAATCTATATAATGAAAATTAGTTATAATCTATATAATCTATATATATTGAAAATTAGTTATAATCTATATATTGAAAATTAGTACCTTTATATGATCTAGTTTTCCTAAAAACAACCACAGCAACATTTTTGATAAATCTTTACCGGTCTGTCTTGGTTTATAATAGATTATAAAATTAGTTAGCTTTTGTTTTTTCCAGGGTTTATAGTAACCATCCATAAGGAATCCCAGCGTTAGATGACCAGGTGGTTAGAGCGCTTGACTCGCAATCTGAGGGGCGCGGGTTCGTATCCCTGTCCCACCAAACATACTCGCCCTTTCAGCTGCGGGAGCGTTATAATGTGACGGTCAATCCCATTATTTGTTGGTAAAAGAGTAGCCCAAGTGTTGGCGGTGGATGGTGATGACTAACAGCTTTCCCTCTAGTCTTTTACTGCTAAATTAGGGACGGCTAGCGCAGATAGCCCGCGTGTAGCTTTGCGCGAAATTCAAACCAAACCAAACCCAGAGTTAAAAGTCGATTAAAATAAACTGTGTTTTCTTTAAAATATGTTTACACGTTTATATGTGTATCAATAATCTATTTCATCAGCAAATTGTGATAATTCAATTAGATTATAGAACTTCTGAGAACGTGGTATGTTTATTGAAATATAAAATATATAAAAGCAGAGGATAACTACCTTTTTTAGGATCAAAACGATCAACATATAATCATTCACTTTTAACTTCTCTAGCACGATAAATTTATTTCGTTCAAAGTAAGAAAATGACATAAAAATGTTTGAAGCCTAATTCTTTGTGCTATTGGAGATGTTCTCGATATCACTGAAAACAGCAGGAGTTTTTATGATTATCATTAAAGCGACTATAAATACTTTTTTTGTTCTGATAAGATACTCAGATATTTGTTTATTTTTCTTATAAAACAATAATTACAGTTGATTTAATTATTTAATAAAATACGTCACATAATTTTCTTATTATTTCTCGTAATTCTTCTAGGGAACCAGTTAAACTGATCTCTTTCTATAAGTTGAAGCGTTATGTTTTAATTACCATAATGAATTAGTTGTTTGCATTGTTGTTGGGCTACATAATGAGCTATCTGTGTTCTGCTTATCATACATATCGAAACTCGATTTTTAGCGTTATCAGCCCTTAGACATACCGCTGAGCCACTGGGAAGTGAGGACGGCTTCCCGATTTAAGTATCATTGTTTTCCAATGCTTAAGAACATGCCCAAAGAAATTTGAAAAGTTATGCAAAACATAATGTATGTAGAAGCTTTCTGAAAATCATTTTTGTTATTATTATTATATTCTCCAGCTTTTGGTTTCTTGTAAACCGTTTAGGACCAGTTATGAGCCACCGTACTGTATATGTAAATGGTGAAACATGTTATCACAGCTCTAAAATCTAATTAAACTGTTATAATTTACTGGTGATATAACCTAATGTTGCCCAGGTAATAAGATAGAAATTGTAATTCTTTTTATCTTGATTGACTTGTTATTTGTGTGTGTGCTTTAAGGGGATATATTAAAAATATTGCATAACACTGAAGTTTTCGTCTATCATAAGCAAGAAAAAAACAGGCAACTCTTCAGAGAAGATGTTGTTCTAAATACTTAAGGTTATACAGTCAACTTCTCAAAGATTTTTAAATATCAAAGCATAAAATTTGTAATAATAAGTTAAACAGGAAATTGCCTATTAAAGCATAAAAAACAAAATCGTTCGGAATTTGCAATACCATTTGCCAGACTCTTATGTTCTCAGAATGTTAAGAACAAATTTATTAGAAT